GAGTAAAACATCTTTGTTTCAGTGTGAAATACTTACAGAAGAGACGGGGGTTTCTTGAGGGCACGCATTTGGGATTCCTCGATTAGAGCTGCACTTGAAAGCATTTGGGAATAGACTAGATTTTGGGGTACGTAGTTGCGTGTGTGAGCGTGACCCTGGGAATGTGATCCCTAATGCGCACCTAGAGTGAAAATCCAGCGTCGCGGCCGGGAAGAAGGACGTGCCACACACCTTCACCCCCAGGCTCCCTTGGCTCTGCCTCCTAGTCCCCGGTCAGTTATTCCTGAGCACTCGGTGGTGGAGGAGCGTCACCCGCTGCACAGGGTTATGCTTGTGGCGGGAGCTCCTGCCAGTTTCTCTGTGCCAGGAGCTTGCCTCGGGCAGGGCGTTTGAAGGCCGGGGTCTCGGGGTCACTTCAACCTGGTGTTTTCTAGCACTGTCACTGAAGGGACAGGCCTTACCCCCAGCTGCGCATTCCATCCCGTGCAGCGGCGCCAGAGTGACTGTGGGCACAGGGAGAGCCCGGCTGGGAGATGGACCCGGGTTTGAAAAAGGAAAAGGCCGCGCAGGAAAACACCAGGTACTGCAGAGCAGCAAACGCTTCTCGTCAGGTTCCTCATCCAGCGTGGCTGTGCGGCTGTACGAGTGGCTGTCCTGAGCCTGTGCCATGGCGGGAGCTGTGTGGGGAAGCGGTAAACGGACAGAGGAGCGCTGGAACAACTTCTTTTGATGGCGATGACAGTCTCCCTCTGCTTGAGGTATGTGAAACTGAGCCTTTCTAGGGTGAATCCCACCCTCAATGGCCATAATACTACAGGGACAAGTTCTGACCTTGTCTGGATACTTGGTTGGTGATGCCACGATAACTTCTGTTCATCAGCGTGTTTTGCTTTTGCAGGTGGAGTGCTGTCAGGTTGCTTTCCGAACTGCCCGTGATTTGTCGTTACTGGCAACAGAGAAAACAAGAGCTGCAAATTGGGTTGGGCCTTTCCCTTTTCATCCTTCTCCAACGGTGTCACTCTCGGGATCTAATAATGTATTTGTGACCCCCTTCTTCATTTTAAACGATTATCCCTTACAAGAAATAGGTGAGGGATCCTGCACGTTCATCCCTGGGGTTACTGATCAAAGGGGTTTGCAACAATCTCACCCCATCTGTGCTTCTGCTGCTCCTCTTTCTAACTTCTGCTGTTTGGTGTGTCTTGGTTCCTCTGCGAGAACTCGGTAAGCTGCACTGGCAAATGGTGGGTAACGTCCTGAGCCAAATATCCCTTTGATGGCTGTTAAAGTGATTCCTCTTTCTTCGTGCAGGAAATTCTACACAGTTTCACCATTGTTGTATATAATCTTCAGCTCTCCCCACTTCCACCCTTGTTCTTTGGTTCTTGCATTTATTGGTTTTCTCAGGAGCGTCCCTTTTTTTTTCCTTTTAAAGCAAAAATAAAGACAGCGTTATTCCTGAACGTTGTTCATTTCATTCCTTCAGCAGCACCCAGGACTCTACACCCGATTCCTTCATCCGATGCTGTGTCTGCAGCTGTTGCCCTCTCCTGCCCTCCCCCCTAGTGCAAGGCGCTCGGTGTGTGGCTGGAGTTACAGCCGGGCTTCTGCTTCTCATCCTTCCCTCCTGATCGTGGCTGCAGCAGGTACAGCGTCGCTCAGAGACTCACCTCGTCGTGTCTCTTGGGTATTGCTGTTGTCTGCCAAGTATTCAGCAACTCCCTTCCAACTTCCTTCGCTTCCCATTCCTGTCTGTTGCTTTTCTTCCCTTCGTTTCTAGCATTGCTCTTCTGTGATGTCAGCTTCCAGGACTGCATCCACCTTCTGCCTTACCTCACCTTTTGCTGCTTCTAAAACCAGTGGCCCAGACTACCTCTTCGATCGTTTTGGGGCCAAGTTCCTCGTTCCTTACTGTATCTGTATCCATGCTGCTGCTTTGACTTGCGCTAATCAATATGAGTGACTTTGCGTCTGCTTCCTCTCTGCGCTCCTTCTGTGAGTGTAGCGAGGGGATCGACGCTGGCTCGTCGTTTCTCGGTTGTCTATTTGTCTGTGTGCAGCCCTGTAACCGACTCGCTTAGGCGGGAAAAGGCCTTTAAGATGATCGAGTCCAACTGTTAACGCTGCTGTTACCACCACTAAACCATGTCCCTGCACACCACGTCTACGTGTCTCTTAAATACCTACGCTTCCCTAGGCAGCTTGACAACCCTTTCAGTGAAGAAGCGTTTCCTAATATCCATCTGAACCTCCCCTGGCACAACTTGAGGCCATTTCCTCCCATCCTATCACTTGTCACTTGGGAGACCAACCCACCTCTCTGCACCCTCCTTTCAGGGAGCTGTAGAGAGCGATCAGGTCTCCCCTGAGCCTCCTCTTC